CCGCGGCCGCGGCCGCGCGGAGCGCCGCCGCGTTGCGCCGGAAGGCGTCGGACGCCGGCGCGAGCGCCGCGGCGCCCTCGGCGAGGAGCGCGGCGGCGTCGCCGGCGCCGCCGCGCTCGTGGAGCACGACGGCGAGGTTCGCGAGCGCCTCCGGGGCCCCGGGCCGCCGCGCGAGCGACCGCCGGTACGACACCTCGGCGCCGTGCCACTCTTCGCGCCGCTGGTAGATCCACCCGAGAACAAAGTCCGCCGACGCGGCGACGTCGTCCGCGGCCGCGTCGCCGGCCGCCGGCGCGAGCGCGAGCGCGGCGAGCAGCTCGCCGATGGCGACGTCGTAGCGGCCCGCCGCCGCGTGCGCGGCGCCGCGGTCGTAGGCCGCCGACGCCGCGCCGACGTCCGGCGCCGCGGCGCAGGTTGTGACGAGGAGCAGGGACAGCCACTGGAGGCAGCCCATCTGTCATCTCTCCATCGTCTGCTTCAGCTTGTTTTGTTGAATCTGCAAGAATCAGGGCAGGGGCTGCCTCCCCGGTCCTCCGTCTGGGGAGCGTCGACGCCGCGCCTCGCCCTTTGGCATGGCCGCCCTCGACGACGCTGTGACGTGCGCCATCTGCCTGGAATCGACGGACTTCGCGGCGCTCCCCTGCTGTGGCACACACGAGGGCTCGACGACGCGCTTCTGCCACGACTGCGTGGTGCTCCTGTGCGACCATGCCGGCGGTACGGGTCGCTGCCCCCGGTGCCGCGCGTGGATCTCCGTAGAAGATGGCGCCATCGTCGAGAAGGAGGCCATGGACCAGTGCATGATCTGTCGGCAGACGCGCGTCATCGTCGACCGGTCCATGTGCGATGCGTGTTCTCTGGGCATGCGGTGAGTTCGCTCGTCCTTTCATCGCAAAACGCTCGTCTACTGTAGTATAAACAGGTACCCGCTGCGCTACGAGTGCGAGGGCTGCGGGAAGCACCAGCGCATCGGCCATCCGATGTGGCGCTACCAGGCGAGTCCGACGGAATTCGGCACGACGACGTGGGCGTGCCACCGCCTCTGCCGCCGGCAGACGAACTGGAGGCTCATCGCGGAGGACGTCCGCCGCGTTCCCGACGGCGACGCGCCCGAGTCGTGGGGGCGCAGGGACGAGTGGCTCCGGAGCGTCCGCGAGTACCGCCTGCGCCGCCTCGCGGAGGGCCCGCCGGAGCCCGACGAGGGCCGCCGCTGTACCCTGAGTTAACGACCGTCATCGCCGCGCGCAACATAAATCCCTATGGGCGTGTCTAGATGTACGTTGATCGCTCGCGCAAGACCTACTGGGCGCATTGGAAACTGAAGCTGTGGTGATCTCAAGATCTGAGAAAACGCATCTCACCGCGATTCGGAGAGCAATTGATTCGTTCGAAGCGCAATGCGTCTCGCCGTCCTCGCTCTCGTCGCGGTGCGCGCCGCCGCGTTCTCGCTCCGCGTGCTCCACGTCAACGACCACCACTCGCACATCGAAGCGAGCGCCTACTCCTTCCTGACGACGATCGAGGAGGACATCGCCTACGGCGGGTGGGCGCTCATGGTGAGCGCCTTCGCGGCGCTCGCCGGCGACGGCGAGAACGTGCTCAAGGTGCACGCGGGCGACGCGATCACGGGCACGAGCTACTACTCGCTCTTCGACGGCGCGCCCGACGCGGCGGTCAGTCCTTCCGGCGTCGCGGCGAACGCGCGGGGATTCGCGCGCGCGCGGCGGTCGAGGGAAATCCGCGACGAAGCGCTCACCGAAACCCGTCCCGTAGGTCATGAACCAGGTCTGCTTCGACGCGTTCGCGGTCGGGAATCACGAGTTCGACGACGGCGACGCCGCGCTCGCGGACTTCCTCGACCTGCTGGCGGGCGACGGGGCGTGCGGCACGGCCGTCCTCGGCGCGAACGTCGCGCCCGGCCCCGACTCGCCCCTCGAGGGGCGCCTCGCGAGCTACGTCGTCAAGGCGTACGGCGACGACGCCGTCGGCGTCATCGGCGTCGACGTCGCGGGCAAGACGATGGCGTCGTCGAACCCGGACGCGGGCACGACGCTCACGGACGAGGTCGCGGCGGTCGAAGCGGCGGTCGCGGAGCTCGAGGCGCAGGGCGTCGACAAGATCGTCGTCGTGAGCCACGTCGGCTACGACTTCGACGTCGAGCACCTCGCGACGCTGCGCGGCGTCGACGTCGTCGTCGGCGGCGACTCGCACTCGCTGCTCATGCCGGGCGCCTTCGACGCGACGTGGACGCTGGGCACGGCCGGCGAGTACCCCACGGTCGTCGAGAACGGCGACGGGGACCCGGCGTGCGTCGTCCAGGCCTGGCAGTACGCGGGCGTCGTCGGCGACCTCCGCGTGGACTTCGACGCGGGCGGCGTCGTGGCGGCGTGCGAGGGCGGGCCCGTCTTCCCCGTCGACGAAGCGACGGACGACGCGGTCCTCGCGGCGCTCGACGCGGCCTACCCGTCGGGCTTCCTGCGCGTCGCGGCCGACGCGGCGACGGCGGCGGCCGTCGGCGAGTACGAGGCGCAGATCGCGGCCTCGTACGGCGCCGTCGTCGCGACCTTCGACGACGCCGTCTGCCTCGACCGGTTCCCGGGCGAGGGCCGGTCCGCGACCTGCGACCTCGCCGCGACGTGGACGCGCGGCGGCGGCGTCTGCAACCTCGTCGCGACGTCGTTCCTCGCGCTCGCCCGCGAGGCGGACGTCGCGGTGCAGAACGGCGGCGGCTGCCGCGTCGACATCGCCGCGGGCGACTTCACCATCGAGGACGGCTACGAGGTCCTGCCCTTCTCGAACACGATCGTCACGCTGGACCTCACCGGGGCGCAGCTCGTCGACGTCCTCGAGGAGGCGCTCGCGCAGCCCCTCGACGACGGCGGCTCGACGGGGTCCTACCCCTACGCGGCGGGGCTCCGCTTCGCCGTCGACGCGTCGCGGCCGCGCGGGTCGCGCGTCAGCGGCGTCGAGGTCAACGCGCGCCTCGCGGGCGCCTGGGCGCCCGTCGACGCCGCCGCCGTCTACGCGGTCGCGACGAACGACTACATCGGGGGCGGCAAGGACGGCTACCACACCTTCGGCGCGCTCGAGAGCGCCGACACGTTCCTCCTCTACACGCAGTCCTTCCTCGACTACCTCGAGGACATCGACGGGCCCGTGCCGGCCCCCGACGAGGCCGACTTCTCGACGACGTCCTTCACCGACGCGGCCGGCTGCCTCCACACGTCGGCCAACGTCGGCGCGTGCGCGCCCGCCGAGGACGAGCCCCCCGCCGCCGAGGAGGCGGACGACGGCGCCGGCGCGTGCTTCTCGGCGCCGGGCGAGGCCCTCCGCGAGGCCTGCGCCTGCGACGCGACCTGCGCGACCTGCGGCTACGACGCGACCGCGTCGGACTCGGTCACGGGCCCCGACGACTGCATCACGTGCCTCGCCGTCGGCGACTGCGTCACCGCGATCTACGACGACGGCACGGGGTCCTGCGCGCCGTGCGAGTCCGACGGCGCCGCGGCGCGCGGCGCGGCCGCGGCCGTCGCGGCCGTCGCGGCCGCGGTCGCGCTCCTCTAGGCCCCCCGAGGCCATCCAAGCACCGGCCGACGAGGCCGCCGCGCGCGCCGCCCGGACGCGCCGAACCCGCCTCGCGCCACCCCCGACCCCCGAGCCGCCGCCACCACGGGCGCGCCTCTACACGTGCACATACACAGAGCTAACGCCGCCGCGCGACGTCGAGGAGCCACTCCATGAGGACGTAGTTCAGCACGTTGAACGGCGCCTGGCGGCCGTAGACGGGCAGGAACCCCTTGTAGAGCGCGAGGACGCCCTCCGCGCGCACGGTCCTCGCGACGCAGTCCGCGGGCCCTCGGTACGCGCCCGCGTCGTCGGCCCCCCGCGCCATGAGCCGCGTCTTGACGATGTCGAAGGGGCAGCCCGCCGCGGCCGTCGCGAGACCGCCGCACAGCGCGGCGACGAGGACCCCGGCGACCGGTCGGCCCTCGCCGACGAAGGTCCCGGCGACGCGCTTCGACGAGTCGTAGGCGGCGATGCCGGCGCCGTTCACGGCCGCGGCGCGCGCGACGTTCGGCGCGAGGCCGCCGAGGAACGCGCGCGCGCCCTCGCGGCGAAAAACCGACGCCGCCGCGGCCGCGGCGGACGCGTAGCGCCGGGGCCGGCCCTCGAGGACGCGGCGGCCGTCGGCCTGGAGCCGCACCTTGACGACGTCCGTCGGATTCGCGAGCGCCGCGGCGCCGCCGCCGGAGAGCGCGCCGGCGGAGATCTGCGCCCAGAGCGGCGCGGCCGCGTCGCCGGCGAGCGCGTCGCGGACGTAGGGATACGCGAAGAAGCACAGGCCGCCGTAGGACGCCTGCCGCGCGGCCGCCGCCGGCAGGCCCGACCAGAACGCCGTCGGGCCCTCGACGCGCGCGACCTTGGCGGCCATGCTCAGAGGGCCGAGCTTCGGCGCCGACGGTGGCACTAGCTCGTTTTGGAGTTGCAGCCGCGTCTTGAGAAAGTCCATGGGCAGCACGACGGCATCGGCGGCGACGCAGGACGTCGACGTGCACGCGAAGCGCAGCAGCGGGCCGCAGGCGTCGGCCTCCATCTATTCAGCTCGTCTCACTCGGTGTGGCAAAATAAGTTCACACAAAAGTTCAAGCTCCAAATCTCTTCCTACCGTCGACGCCATGGCTGCCCCCGTCGATCTCGTCGGCGCGCCCCACCTGCAGAAAAGGGAGCAGCGCGACGTCGACCTCTCGTCCTACGTGGCTCCCGCATCGGACGCCGCGGACGACGCCGCGGCGGACGAGGTGCGGAGACCCTGGCCCCGGGACCTCTGGCTCCTCGTCGACGACGTGAAGAAGGCGCGGCGGCCCGCCGAGTCGCGGCGCGTCGTCTGCCTCTGCGTCGTCGCCACGGCGCCGTCGCAGCGCGGCGCCGTCGCCAACTGCCGTCTAGCGCGCGCGCACTACGCGGGCTGGCGCGTCGTCGTCTTCGCGTCGCCGCGCGTCGACGCGGCCGTCGTCGACGAGCTCGGCAGCTGGGGCGCCGAGGTCCGCGTCGTCACGGCGCGCTGCCGCGACTTCCAGCTCCCGCTGCTGCGCTTCGCCGTCGCGGGCGAGGTCGGCGTCGAGTGCGTCGTCTTCCGCGACGCGGAGAGCCGGATCAACGCGCGCGAGGGCGCCGCGGTGCGCGACTGGCTCGCGACGGACGCGGCCTTCCACGTCATGCACGACGCGCCCGACGCCGACGCGCGCTTCATCGCGAGCGGCTGCTTCGGCTGCCGGTCGACGGACGACCGCGAGCCGCCGCTGCCGGACGCGCCCGCGGCGCTCGTCGAGTTCGTCGACGGCGGCGGCGACGACGACCTCGCCTGGCTCGAGATCTACGTGCGGCCCGCCTGCGACGCGGCGAACACGGTGCACCACTCGAGCCGGGGCGCGTTCCTCGACGACGGGCCCGCGCGGCCCTTCCCGGAGACGGACTACCGCGGCCGCGTCGGCGAAGCCGCCGGCGACGCGCCCTGGGACGCGTTCCTCTAACTTTGGGGTTGGTGTGACCGTACTACGACTCCTTTAGGAAGGCGCCCTCGGCGGGCTCCGCGCCGACGACGGCGGCGACCGCCGGGGCCTCGGCGGCCTTCTCGACGTCGTCCGGGTCGCCGAGGACCTCCTTCTCGATGCGCGCGTTGCGCTCCATGAGCTTCTCGCCGACGAGCTGGAAGATGTAGAAGGCGACGAGGCCGCTGGCGAAGAGGACGGCCGACGTCCAGCAGAGGTGGACCGGCTCGCAGTTCGTGCCGCGCCAGCGGCCCGCGGAGCCGTGCTGGACGCGGGGCCCGTCCTTGTGGCACTTCCGGTGCGTCCAGGGCCGGACGACGATGAGCGCGCCCACGAGCTGCACGAAGTCCGTCACGTAGACGCAGGTCGCGAGCACGAGGCGGTGCACGTGCGAGCCGACGACGGACCCGAGCGGCGCGCCGACGACGACGATGGGCGCGCACACGGCGAAGAAATCCCAGGCGAGCGCCTCGAGGCCCTCGCGCATCATCCACTTGCAGTAGCACATGGCGATGACCGTGTTGATCGCCATGAGCACGACGGACGTCGGCGTCGCCGTCTTCTCCGAGACGCGGAACAGGAGCGTCAGCACCGAGAAGGAGCAGATGTCGATGCCCGAGCCCGCGAAGGACGTGAAGATGCCCCCGATGAAGCCCGCCGCCAGCAGGACGAGCGCCTTCCAGTTGAGCACGAGGTTCGCCCACCAGTAGGGCGTCAGGTCCGCGGACTTCCAGATCTCCGGGATGTGCTTCGGGTCCAGCACGAGGTAGACCTTCCGGCCGTGGATGCGGTTCAGGTAGTAGAGCGACGCCGCGAAGGAGCCCCAGATGACGACGAAGTACATCTTCGCGTAGGGCGGCGTCAGGACCGGCGCGATCTCCTCGAGGCCGTAGATGAGGCCGACGACGCCGCCGACGGAGCAGTAGGTGATCGACTTCCACTCGACCCGCACCTGCATGTAGAGGATCACGAAGGCCGCCGCCGTCATGCCCACGGATTGGATCATGTAGCTGAACTGCTTCGCGACGTGCGGCTTGACGTCCATCGCGAGCGTCATCACGGGGAACGCGACGGACGCGCCGCCCTCGGACGTCATGCCCGCGACCATGGACCCGAAGACCATGGTCACCGACATGTACCAGGGCCGCACGTCGCCCCGGAGCAGATCCACAGGAGGTGTGCCATTGGGGTCCCTGTACTTGCGCATCTGGCCCACCTTGTCCGTGAACTTGTGCCACGAGTCCCAGCGGATGAACGCCGTCCACCAGACGACGTGCACGAGCAGGAACGGGATGGCCATGGCCAACCTAGACGTGCGCGTCGTTCCCTCGCGCGCGCGACACGTTCGACGGACGCCGGCGCGCGCTGCTTGCGGTACTTCACCGTCCACTCGACCTTGTCCGCTTGCAGCTTCTCCTCCAGCGACGCCTCGAGGCGCTGGCCCTCGCAGAAGTATTTCAAGCAAAAGGCTTTGCAGTCGGTGGGCTCGCGCACGTGCATGACGTCGTCGACGGGGTGGCGTCGCTGCGCCATGACGCTCAGACGGTCTCCGCGCCCACCTCTGACGAGTCGCCGAAAATGATAATTGCTTGCCTCGCCCGAGGGATGTACGCTCGGCGCGGCGGCCCCCGGTGGTTACGACGCGGCCTGGTAGGGCTCGGCGGAGACGACCTCGGCGAGCTCGGGCACGTCCTCGTCCTTGACGATGACGTAGGTCGCCTCGTCGGAGCGGCGCGCGGTCGCGCGCGCGAGCGCGCCGCGGACGCGGGAGCGGAAGCGGCCGTAGGGCGTCGTGCGCCCCGCGGCGGCGTCGTCCTCGACGGCGGCGACGTAGCAGGACAACACGATGCCGCCGACGAAGAAGACGCCGACCCAGAACCAGCGATTCGTGAGCACGGAGCGCGCGCCCGTCGGGAGCCGCGGGCTCGAGTGGTGGCCGCGGGTCGACGTCGTGCAGGCGTCCGCCGACGCGCCGAAGCCCGACGCCGCGCAGTAGTCGAGGACGAAGAGGTCCCACTGGGAGAAGAAGCTGTAGTCGTAGGAGCCGTGGAACTCGACGCCGACGCCCGACGAGCCGCGCGCCCAGTTGCTGCCCGTGCCGTCGCCCGTGTCGCCCGTGTGGACGCCGACGCCGTCGGCGCAGAGCCCCCGGGCGTTGAAGTCGAGGGACGTGCCCTCGAGCGTGATGCCGACGTGGGCGTCCGCGTAGCGGCTGTAGCCCGCGTCGCAGCCCATGTCGTCGTCCGCCGCGGCGCCGACGTACTCGGCGAAGAAGGCGGCGCTGTAGTTCGCCGCGGCGGTCGCGCGGCTGTTCTTGACGAGGCGGAGCGTCACGGCCCAGGCGGAGACGAGCGTGCTCAGGTCCAGCGTCGTGCTCGACCACTCGCAGCGGTCGCCGTCGTCGTCGGCGGGCGACGCGTCGACCGTCGTGTTGAGGAGCGCCTCGCTGTAGTCGGCGAGGAAGTTCGGCAGCGCGGTGACGTCGACGACGGGCTGGCTCACCATGACGGGGAGCAGGTCCGGGAGGCCGCGGGCGTTGGACTCGGAGCCGCCCTGGGCCATCCAGCCGCCGTCCATCGCCTGGGCAGGACAAGAGTGCGAAATTCCCAACTTCAAAGGCTCCTCTCTCGGTCGTTTTCCACTCGTTTCGGCTGATTTTTGGACGAGCGATCATCTCTCGGAACGGTCTCGAAGCGTGGATGCTTTTTCCAGAACGCGCGCGCGCGGAACACTCACGTTGAAGCGACGTTGAATCACCCTTGTCCAGCCGCCGTCCATCGCCGCGAGGTCCAGGCCCACGGCCGCGCCGGCGCCGCACTCGCCCGACTCGTAGGCGCTAAAGTTCGCCTCGTAGGCGCGCCCGACGACGCCGGAGACGACCTCGACGACGTGGCCCGTGTGCGGCACGACGACGCGCGCCGAGTAGAGCGTCTCGCCGCTCGCGTCGGACGACGCGCGCGCGAGGTAGGCCACGCCCTCGCGCGTCCAGAGCCTCAGGTGCGGGTGGAGCGTCGGCACGTAGAAGGTCACGCCCTGCGTCGCCCACTCGCTGTAGGTCCACGAGTCGCTCGCGAAGGCGTTCGCGGCGACGAAGCTGTCCGCGAAGTCGCACGTCGTCACGTCCTTCTCCGGCGTCACGTAGGACGTGAAGTAGTGCATCTCGAAGTTGCCCAGCGTCGTCGCGACGACGCGGTCCGCGCACTCGGCCCCGGCGCAGGCGTAGGACGCG